CCGTGTGGCGAGTGGCATTCACATCAGTATGCATTTCTATAAGTGTGGCAGGCTTGATTTGTGCTGGGTACTGGGTGGCTCCAGCAATCATGCCAGAAAGGTCTTTGCAACTGTTCCCAACGAAGGCATCTATGGACCAATAAGCTGAGTTGCACTACACATAACGAAGGGCTTTCTGCAGCCAAAATGCTCCTGCAACTTTCTGGACACACAAGCAATAAAGTAAAAAAACATGAAATCTCACAATCTCGGCATTCTTGCTGTCTTGAGACTTTGCCATGGGTTCCCTGCCTCATTCATTGCAGCTAGCCCAGGTGGAGAATCTGTATATATAAAATCTGATTTACTGAGCCTTTCTCTGATTCCAATGATGAAAACATCTGTTGACATGTTGGGAAACACAGAGTTGCCGTGTTGGTGCGAGAAGAAAGGCCCAAAAAGAAATCCGTGAAAGCGACCTTTAAAAAGGTGAGCACCTTACCCCTGCGTTGCAAGGGGGGCATCTTCGGCCGAGGTTCTGTGACAATCGAAACTTGCCCTTGTTCAAGCTTGGCCAGGAAAAATGTCTACCGTTACGTCCCTTTTAAGAGTTGGCCCACCAAAAAAAAAAAAGAAACACTAGGAAATCTTGGATTTCCAAACTCATATTGTTGCTCAGTTTGCTTGCCCAAAGAGCATCCAGGCTCTAGGTGCTGAGTGGGTGTTGCCCCTTTAGCAAGGAGTTTCAAATGTCACTTGCCACTGCTTTCTTCAAGCGTGAATTGAACTTGAAGGCTGCATATTTCCTGTTCTCAAGTCACACTTAGCGCTCTCAGGGCTCAAAGCTCTTGATCACCGTCCATATCCTGATCAGGAGTTGCTACGCTTTCTGGCTTAGCGGTGCCAAAAGATCAGACATTCCTGGAGCTGCGGGAGGTCTCCATCGCTCCAAGACCGACGCAAGGGCAGCCGTTCAACTTCCTGTCATTCAGTGTTCCATCGTGCTCCACAAGAGCAGCATCTTCACGAGGTCAGTCCTCATCTAAGAATACCGACCTCAGCTTTGCTTATTCAGAACTGTAACTGTTTCTCATTGCTCTCCAACTCGTCCTGATAGCTGAATGATGAGAAAGAAATTGAATGTTTGAGCAACCGAGTTCCGGCCAAACGAGGCTCCGACTCCATGAAGGTCCCCTTCACCCGCAGAACAACATTACCATTCACCCTCCGTCCGTGCTCTGGAAACGACCTGACAGCGCTTCGGACCGGGAGCCAAGCCAATGTTCGTCAGCCTGTGTCATTTTGCCTTTACTATTTATGTTTTGGTTGGTTTCATGTTTCTTTCATATATTGCTGCAATGAACTGCGAACCCAAGTCCAATCCAATGTGTGCTCCAGAAATTGAAATCACCAGTACTTCATAAATCGCCAGGCCCACGCAGTTGGAGGAGCTGTTTGCTGTCGACTGAGTCTTCCTTCCTTGGAAGCGCTGACCAAGTCTTCATCACCCCGTATTGTCTCCATGTTCTAGTTGGCAACCATCTAAAGCATGTGACACGCCTGTTTACAAACATGGCATCAAACAGTATCGATTTTGGAGAGGCTCGCCGGGGCAGAGTGTGGAGGCATCTGACAATCCCATGTCACTCATTGCATCGTTGAAGCCATCACCGGTACCGTCCTTTATGGGGCAGGCCCGGTGCTACCATCGTTTCCTTCCAGCAGTCCTTTTTCAACATCTTCCAGCGCTCCTGTGGTTGTCCTGAAGAGAACCCTGACGATGGCGCTGATCTTCCACGATCGCCTGACACCCGTGCTAAGGAAGGTAAAACTCTCCTTGGCTCAGCTTCAGGCATCCGTTCACGTCTTTGACGTGTTTCATTCTCTTTCAACATTCAACTTGACAAAGGATGTGGTTGCCCGGTTTCAGCATGCAAATTATCGACATAGCCATAGCTACATGTTTCCGCTCCTTGTTCTTTTTTTTGACCTTGCACAACTAGTCTTGTTTTTTGGCAGTTTCTTTACAAGCCTGTTCGGGCTCACTCAGGTCAGCAAACGTTACAACAATAGTCTGGAAGATTTGCAAACTGTTGCTTTTGCAGTTGTCAACTGGAATGCGCTTGCAAGCGGCTTCTCCTCGATGTTGCAGGATCAGGTCTCGACGGTCTCGACCCTCTCCCTCACCTACCATGCAGCCTTCAACCATCTTCAACCATCCTCTAATTAAGGGCCAAACTAGAGGACTGCCAAGCAGCTGTAACTTACTGTTTGCGTTTGAGTGGCACAAAAAGTCATGGAGCCACAAGGAATTGCGCCGTTGCTGCACGAGGCTGTTGAGGCATAAGCTAGGCTAGGCGGGTGGATGTGCGTTCGACTGCGCAAATAAAGCCACGCACAGCTTTTGAACTCATTGCAACAACCACAGCTTGCACCTACTTCCAGCGGTTTGTGGGCTCTGTGTTGTACGACCTCTTCTAGGTCGTAGGTTCTTTGACTACAGATGCTGGAATTGCCAAACAGGCCTGCTGTGCGTCTGCCTTGGTTGTATGCTGTGAATTGCGGCATTTTGCGACATTGAACCACAGCTGCTCCTGCAATATCATTCTTGTTGTTCACTCGTTTTGACCGCACTTCTGTTGTGCTTCGGCAAAGAGATTGCAATGGATGATCAAATAGTATTATACATTACGCTCACGTAGCAATGGCTGAATCCTTGAACTATCAATTCATTCATCCACACAGCCTCCACTTTGGGTGGAATAGGATTGCAGGCTGCCGTAGCCCGAGTAGTGCTGGATTGCTGCCTTGTGTCAAGGAGAACATCGCCCAAGGCCGCTTCTCTTGGAGCAAAGGGCCAATGCACCATCCATCTAAGCCCCTCACCGCTTCATCCTCCCAAATGCCAGCCAAACCTCCCATGACATCACAACCTCAGTGTACAATCGCAAAAGCCTCAGGCAGCTTGTGGCTTTTGATTAGGATCAACAGTATGATCAACAACTGAGGGACAAACCCATCTGACCATCCACCGACATATACTCGTCCTCCACTGAGAAGCCCATATATCCCCTAAGTTGCGTTGACGAGTCATCAAAGATAATATTGAGATTCATAGCTATGCACAACTATGCACTGCTGATTCTGGGAGCCGATCATTGGTGACATTCCTCCTCTCAATTCTTTCACCCCGTGAGCGTAGCGACAGGTGTCGCCTGCCTTCAAGCAATCGAACCCTGCCATTGTAGCTCTCAAGTATGGCCGAAGGATCCCAAAGAACGCCGAAGGTATTGTGGGGGTCAAACATCTATATGAATTGTCGAAACAAAACGCCTGATGAAAGCAACAAAAAGTGGGGCGATCGCCTTGCAAGTTCCTGTAGACCATGCTCTGCACAATTCGGTCTTGTAAACACTTCCGGTTGCCCGAAGCTCCGAATGCCTTAAACCAGCTGCACTTGAAAATCCAGTGCTAGGAGGTGACTTTATAGGCTGGGGGTGAGGCCCGTGTGCAAATTTACAGTGGATATCATTGCACCTTGGGAGCCCAAGCATTGCATTGAAAAATCAATGGCACCATGCTTGGGTGCATGCTTCCTTCGAAAGAAGTTTACCTGCACACAAAGGCAATTGCATTGTTTTCCGTCATTAATCCTTCATGTGACGCTTTTTGAGCCAATCGTTCTGAGCTGGGGGCACAAAGCTTGGTTTTGGAAAGGTCTGGGGGCGCATTGAGCTCTTCTTTGGAGTGCGCAAAGGGGCAAGCCATACCCATGGTGCATTTCTTCCTAAGCCAAGCTGTGAAAGGCTCCAACTTCAAGCTGAGGAGATGAGTTGCTGCTGAAGCTCTTCTTGTGGAAGGCACACATCTTGGTCTTGTGAAACTGGCCGCGTATCCTCACAACATCACTAGACAAAAGTCTGCAGGTGCAGTGGGTTCAAACCGATGGGCAGGGTGGGTGTCTGCAACGACTCTCAGGGGCCAAATGATCTCAAGGGTGTAGAGGTGCGATAAGCGTTTTAGGAAAATTACTTTACTTCGAGTGATCCCCACCATGGCATTTCAAAACAACCACGTTGACATCAACCTTGTTGTGTATTTCAGCCCATAGCACAAGTCCTTCAGCGCCAAGTCTTACTGTTTTGTCCGTAGCGAATGCTTTCATCAGGAGACCTGCGCCCAACTAATAATACAACTCAGATCATTTCAGTAATAGTCGTACTGGGTGGCCCAAGTAGTAGTACTACTGTTTATTACTATTTATTAGTAGTAGTGGTAGTGGTAGTGGTAGTGGTAGTGGCTGTGTGTTTGTGGTTGTGTGTTTGTGGTTGCGTTTGTGATTGCGTTTGTGGTTGTGCTTGTGGTTGCGTCTTTGTCGTTGAGGCAGTGGTTGTGCTTGTGGTTGCGTGCTTGTCATTGCGTGTTTGTGATTGTGGCTGTGGTTGTGTTTGTGGTTGTGCGTTTGTGATTGTGTTTGTGGTTGTGTGTTTGTGGTTGTGTGTTTGTGGTTGTGTGTTTGTGGTTTTGTGTTTGTGGTTGTGTGTTTGTGGTTGTGTGTTTGTGATATTGGGTTTGTGATATTGTGTTTGTGACTGTGTGTTTGTGATTGTGTTTCTGGTTGTGTGTTTCTAGTTGTGTTTGTGGTTATGTGTTTGTGATCGTGTCTTCGTAGTCGTGTTTGTAGTTGTGTGCTTGTGGTTATGTTTGTGAATGTGTGTGTGGTACTGGTAGTGGTTGTGTTTGTAGTTGCGGTTGTGGTTGTGGTTGTTGTTGTGTCTTTGTGATTGTGTGTTTGTGGATGTGTTTGTGGTTGTGTGTTTGTGGCTGTGTGTTTGTGGTTGTGGTTGCGGTTGTGCTTTTGTGGTTGTGTTCGTGGTTTGTGGTTGTTGTTGTGTGTTTGTGGTTGTGTGTTTGCGGTTGCGTGATTGTGGTTGTGCGTTTGCGGTTGTGTGTTTGTGGTTGTGTTTGCGGTTGTGTGTCCCCGAAGGGAGGCAAATTTTAAGCGCCGAGCCGGAAGGTTGGGTGAGACTAGTTAAATTGGCGAAGCTCACGATAGGTCTGATACGCTGTGAGAGGTAGTCGGAGTTGGCAAATGGCAACATCATGTAGACGGGAGATGACGGTATGTAGAGGTCGGTAGGGAAAAGGAGTAGAATCTCGTGGGAACTCATTGGCGATACCAAGAGGGCGAATGCTTCAGGAGTTGACATAGTAGAGCACGAGGTCTTCAAGTGTGCAGGTGTGCGGGACTTCCCATACACGAGAGTCTCCGGTTGAGGGCAGGGCCTTCCAAAATGCTGCGCGTTGCTGCCCCAAACGGGAGTAGATCACATCTTTGAGATCATCGACTGTATACAATTCGAATCGGATGGTGGAGAGATTGGGAACTGGTCCAGGGATTCAAAAGGTTGATGGACGTCTCTCCACGTAGTGGGTATCAACTGGGTCAGAGGTTCGGGAACTCGAAGTCCGGGCGACGAGATCATCTTGGCAACAGGGAATGAAAAATGACACGGGTGGTGGGGGCCAATGGCTGCGGATAGAGAGAAAAAGATGTGTGTAAAGTGTGACGAAGGTGAGACGGAGTGAAAAAGAAAAAGAAACAGGAGACAAGCAGAGCGGGATTGTTTTCAGACTGTGAATGGTGAGCTCTAATGTAAAAGGGAAGCGCGTACGGCCTCAACCCGAAGAAGGTGGCAGAGCTCGCGAAGTGGTCAATCATGGGTCCCAGCCGTAGGTGGGAAGGGAGGAGCCAACGTATTTTGGGATGCTGTAGATGAGGAAGTCAATGACATAGATCCTGGCCGGCGGAGGCGGAAGAAGCTGCGGAGGGAAGGTCGGGATTGGGAGAATGTTCTTCTCGGTTGAGGGCTTGGTTGAGTTCATCCTGATAGGTGGTAAGGGTGTGTACCATGCCTTCGATGAGCTGTCGTTGCTGAGGAGCGGGGAGATCCCGCAATGCCGGTGATTGAGAAACATCAAGCTGGGAGAAGTTCTGAAGAAGGTTTTCCAGCACGAATTCCACACGGGTATGTTCAAGACTGTCGACAGCTTGGCGTTTTCGTCGCCGGGGATGAGCAACCGGAGTAGAGCTCTGGGCAGCAAGGTGGTTTTCCTCTGCCAGTCGTTGCTGCTCAGCGTGAAGGGCGTTTTTCATAGTTCTCACAGGCCTCCCAAATGGGGAGACTCTGAATTGCTCCCAAGACCAACTGCCAACCCCGGGTACCCCACACGCGAAGAAGTAGGCGTCAAAGGATCGGGTAAGGAAGAAGGAGGGGAGAAGGTTAAAGGTGGTGGGAGGGAGAAAGGAGATGATGACGGAACTGGTGGATCCAAGAAGGCAGTCTGGCCGCGAAGCTCGGCAATCAATCGAGTGTGATCTCGGTCGAAACGAGTAATGTGTAGCAAGCCAAGAGCAGTGAGAAGTTGTTCCGTGTAGGCGAGAGTGGTGCAGGTGGCTCGTTTGGTCTGATCGATGCTGGCGTCCAGTCCCCGAAGGTGAGCAAGAAGAAGAGGACAGGTGATGGTGTCCGCGAGGGGAGGAGCTAAAGTGTCCCAGGGTCCTCGTAGAATAGTGAGAATCAGCTGCAGGGACGAGTGTATGTGACAAAGTTCACGATGTAGTACGGCTTGAGCTGCAATAGGTAATCCTTCAATGGGTGCGAGTCCTGCAGGAGGAGAAGGTGATGTATGGGTTGGTGGATTCATAGGTGTCGAAGTCGGAAGAAGACATGGCGGCGACTGCGAATGGACGCCGAGCGAGGGAGGAGGAAAGCCTAGAGAATAAACCGTGAGGAACGAGCTAGAGCCAAGGGGAGAACAGAATGAGGGTGAGATCAAATGCAATAGCATCAATAGCCTGAATCAATAAAGTGAAAAAGAGGAAAATGGTGCTTTTTCTAAAAAGCTGTCAAGTCGAAGTAGGGGGTGAAACTAATTAGTAATAGGTATCCCGCGCAGGTTCAAGCGAGGACGAGAGCGAGAGCGGGAGCGATTCATAGTGGCTCTGATCTCAGCGTGAGAGAGAGGTCGAGTCGAAGTGGCAACGACGAAACCACGTGAAGGTCGTGTAGTAGAGGGCGTCCTCGTCGTCAGTGCGTCATCATGATCCGGGGTGACGGTGGTAGTAGTCGAGCCCCTCGCCGAATGAGATCCTGAAGCTGGGGGACGAATCGAAGGAAGACGAGGGTCACGGAAGGTGGTAGTACCACGTAGCTCTGCCTCTAATTTTGCAGTGTCAAAATTCAGAGCGTGGATCAAGCCAAAGGTGGTCAGCAGCTCTTGAGTGTAGTGGAGACCAGTATGTATGGCTTGAGTCGCTTGTCGAATGGCAGAATCAAGTCCTCGAATTTGTACCTGAAGGTGGGGCGATGTAACACAGTCTAAAAAGGTAGGAGAAAGGATGGCAAGTCGAGCACGAAGAAGGGAAGTAGTGAGGTCCAATAAGGCGTGTGCGTGAAGAATTTCACGATGTAGAATGGCCTGAGCCCTCATCGGTATGCCTTCCATGGGGGAAGACCGGCGACCGGCAGGAGAAGGAATCATGGCAGGAGGGAAAGTGCTGATCGCCTGGAATACTAGGTTAAGGCTCCAACAGGTTCCAATGAACCTTGAACAAACTTCGGCCGCTGCGGCCACGTACGCCGTGCCAAAATGGCTGGCTGCTTTGACCGCTGCGGTCACGTAAAGGCATGAGCCAACTTGGAATTCCAAAGATGAAACAAACATCCAAATTCTTGTGGCGTATAAGCCATCTGCTGTCCGCTCCGGACACCGACAAACACCCGTTCGACGGGTCCACGGGAGGCACTCTACGGGCTCATCCCGGACTGGCACAAGGCAGACACACTTATGGATATGCATACGGAACTGACAGCGGTGCCACACGCCGGCCTAGGGTACCATCTCCTAAGAGTACCAGTAAGAAACCATCGGATCCTGGGGGTCTGCAAGAGGAAGTGGTGCCAAAAGCGCAAGGTCGAAAGCGACGAACAGGTCGAAGTGACGGCGGGTCGTGCATGTCTGCAGAATGTCAAGCTCAACTCAGCGAATCTTAAAAATTAAGCAGGTACGTCAGAGTGGCCAACTCTGATTTCACCAGATCAAATGGGCGTCTTCGTTGGTAGCGGTCCCAAGTGATCTGCCGCTACCCCCTGCTGAAAAACGAGAAAAATTGGTACAATCCGACAGGATCCCTGTGACTACAAGGGGCACACACACACAGGTAATTATATTGCTGTGTTGTGTTGTGGTTGCGCGTAGTATAGTGGATGTGTGTAATGGTTGTGTAGTGGCTGTGTGTAATGGTTGTGTTGTGGTTGTGTGTTGTGGTTGTGTGTTGGGGTTGTGTGTTGCGGTTGTGTGTAGTGGATGTGTGTGTGACGTGTTGTGGTTGTGCCTTGCGGTTGTGTGTGGTGGTTGTGTCTTGTGGTTGTGTGATTGGTTGCGCGTTGTGGTGTTGTGTGGTTGTGTGCTCGCGGTTGTGTGGTTGCGTTTGTGGTTGTGTGGTTGTGGTTGTGATTGCGGTTGCGCGTTGCAGTCATGTGTGTGTGTGTTGCGGTTGTGTGCGCGTGTGTGTGTGTGCGTGTGTGTCGTGGTTGTGTGTTGTGGTTGTGTGTGTCGTGGTTGCGTGTTGTGGTTGCGTGCTATGGTTGTGTGTTGCGGTTGCGTGTTGCGCTTTCGCTTGTGGTTGCGTGTTTGTGGCTGCGCGTTTGTCGGCATGCGTTTGTGGTTGCGCCTGTGTGGTTGCGTGGTTGTGTGGTTGTGGTCATGTGTTTGCGATTGCGTGTTGTGGTTGCGCGTGTGTGGTTGTGTGGTTGCGGTTGTGTGTTTGTGGTTGCGTGTTTGTCGGCGCGCGCAACCCCGTAGCAACATATCTTCTTCCTTTGTCTCTACATGGGGGTGGAAACAATTTTTGTCCCCCGAAAACAATCCGCCAACAAGTACTTTTACCAGTCGCGGTAGTGTTTATAAACGGACCAGCCCAGACTTCAGTGAGACAAGCCCAACAAGCCCACCTACTTATGAAACCAACATTCCCTTCAAACCGTATCCCTGAGCTTGTTCCCTTGAAGTTCCAAAGTTACAACATGTGACAATTATTATGTTGGGCGGCTGTTTTTGTTTCTACCAACAACAACATCGTCAACAACAACAACCATCACCACCACAACCACAACGACAAAGACAAGAAAAACAACCACAACCGCAACCGCAACCACACTGGATCACTGATCACTTTACCTCGTTAGCTCTTTAGTGCACAACACCGGATGGGAACGGTTTGACCAAGGAAGAAGGAGACTGAATCTTCAATGCGTTGGCACTTTACCTCGTTGGCCCTTTAGTGCTCAACACCGGATGAGAACAGCTTGAGCGATACTTAGAGTCACAAAGATAGTGTTAAAAATTAATGCAAGTATGTCGAGAGAGCGTCCCCTCTCAACATCCTACTCTGAACTTGGAGCTTCGTTGGCTCACGCCAGGAACAGACCCGCGAGCCCCCTGCGATGAAAGCTATACAGGTTAAATGCAAAGAAAGCAGTGTGCCTGGACCCCCCTTGGTGGCGCACACTCGAGATATTGCGCACGGAAAGGACTTGCAGCTTGCCACACGCCAGCCTAAGTGAAAACCTAAGGTACCAGGGTAAAGTAAGTCAGAGTAGGCTGGATGCCATTACATCAAGGTTGGAGGCCAGCGAAACTCAAAACGTGACACGCAAATGACGGTTAGTAACAGAACCACATGAACCACCATGAAAGCAGCCCACAGCAAGGACAACAGGTAACCAGTTTGGCGGTACGTTTGCACGGGTCGCCGAGGAGGTCTTCCGTTGTTCGTTGGCCACTGCTCCTCTGGGACCCCGGTGGCCCCGCGCCATTTAAAAGACCCAAAAGGCCCCCTGGACTCCAAGGGTTCCACACACACAAGGAAGAAGACGAAGAAGAAGAAGAAGAAGAAGAACAACAACACCACCAACACCAACACCAACACACAGCAAGGCGTGGCAGCCGCAGCACTTTGGACTCGTCAGAGCGGTCTGATGCACGGTGTCACACTTTTGTAAACGCGGCGATACCTTCTGCCATGTCCTCCTCGGCTTTCGGCTTTCGGGTCACCCTCTCTTTATGTTTTACTTGCGTTTTGACTGCAATGTGTGCTTTGCAGAAAGCATTTAACATGTTGGGTTCTTCGGTTATTCGGCCGTATTGATTTTAAGGGTTGGGTGCAGGCCGCTATAGAGGTATGAGCAGCTAGTTAGTAGCTATATATTGGTACTGGAGGCCCGGGTAGGACGCAGGATAGCTCAAGCTATTCATGTGGTTCCTAGATTTTTAGGAAAAGAACAAAACAGGCAAATCACGAGCAAGCGGTTGCTTGGTACGTTGCACGCTATGATGCTCGGTTTCTGGATCTAACAATGTAAATCATATATATATATATAATTGCTGAGGTGGCAACTGTGGAGAGAACTTTCCAGTGGCACCGTTTATCATAGCCTGCACGGCTGATCATAGCCACAGCTGTCCAGCTACTGAGCATCACAGACCCTCATGCCTGCGCACCGTTGAGGGCCCAGGCTGATGGCGTAGGAGCTGGCACTATGAGAGGGCCATTGACCATGTCACCTGCACCAACAAACCTCGGCGAGACCAAACGAGAGCCGCCAAACATTAAAAAAGTGAAGTTGCATGTGGCAAACCCTTTCCGTTATATAAAGGCCAAACTACTACAAAATGACCCACTGGCATGTTCAGAAACAAGGGGCGCAATGAGAAAGTTCGCCCGGCCCATTCACAACATTACGGAAGCCAAACCCCTGCAAAATCATGAGCTGTTACCGTTACCATTGCTGGGGCAACTTTGGCATGCCTTTGGCTAAGCATACTTGTTGGAGTCGTAGACGTTGGCTATGGGAGAAAGGCGCAAATTGATATTGCAGTTGGCACTGAGTTCAACAGCTAGGAGGCGTAGCACCGACTTAGAACTGGACCAACCGAGGGTCAGGCAATGACATGAAGAGTCTCCGTGATTTGGCTTGGGGCCAGGTCGCTTGGTCTGCACTGCAGTCACATGTTCAACAAAAGTGCTCCTAGCGGTATGATCGGCGATGTTTCTGCATTTGATATATATACATGTATTCATACATACATACATACATACATAGCTCAAGCCAAGCCACGAGTGGTCCAGGCCGGTCCAAGCCCCGCCACCACAGGCGGGAACCACACCGCAGTGGCTTTCACTGCAGTGCCTGTGGAACCCGCATGCACCAAAACCTAACCGCGGCCACACTTGAAGAACGCCTCCATGAGCAGCGCCCGCAACTGCAGTTAGACGCTACTCCAAGCCCAACAAGAGGCACCTCCTCCAAGGATTGTCACCTCCTGGAGGAAACCCAAAGGCTACCTGAAGGGTGAACATCCACAAAAGAACCAACGAACGGGCCTTCCATGAATTCCTGTCCAGCCCATGCTTGGACCAGCCATACCCTGGTGACCACGGAGGGCATCATACCCACAAGGTTAGCTGCACTCTCTGTGGTCTCCAGCTCCATTCGGATAGTCAGAGACAAGTCATTGGCAGCACCACTTTCCACAAAGGAGCGGGAGCGCATAACTCACCTCCCCTCCAAACCTACTTCAAGGTGACAACTAGCCAGCCCAGCTCTGGTGGCATTGCGAGCCAGCCAGCTCCCCCTCAGACCCAACTGCCACTCATGCAGCAAAGGCAACAGCCCACCCCTAAACGGCTTCATTTTACCACAGCTCTCAATGACATGGAGAGTGAAGAGCTGGACACTACCTCTGCACAGGCCATGAACGCCAGCCATTGCATCGAGGACAGTGTTGCAACAGCTTCAGCACCGTCTGCACAGGCCATGACACCCAGCCGTCAAGCAGACCTCAAAGTCCCCGCTGACAAGCAGGATAGCACTCTTGCGACCTACCCAGATGACTACCTCAACGTGGCAAGCAAGAAACCGCAGGCAGCACAGGGCACTCACACACCTGAAGCCAGGTTCACGAACCACGGCCCGCAACAGCTCGAAGAGACTGCGGAGGAAGAAACTACAGATGAGGACATGGAGGTCCTGGTGGACTACTTGTAGCAGCTGCAGCGGCGGCATGGTCAAAGCGACCCTTCGTTCCGCAGACAAAAGAGCCCCTTTAGGAAAAATACATACATAATCATACATACATACATACATACATACATACATACATGGCTCAAGGTTTAAGGTCTCAAGCTGGCAAGCCCGCATAAAGACCAGCTAGTGCAGCTCACGCGGCGTTGCACCACGAGATACAAAAGGATTGACCTGGGCATCACCGCCTCTGCCTTCCAAGAGTACCCCTTTCTTTGCCCGCAATAGTGAGGGACAAGTTCAAGGGCATCTCTTCAACGAGAACAACCACATCGGCACCTCAACCTCAGGGACTTGCTGAACCTGGTCAATAACCTTGCAGGTGTCTTTGACCAGGTCGAGGAAGGGGCCCTGATCTGTGCCATCAACGCAAGGTATCTCATAGCTCTTGAGGATCACCGTATCCGGCCCAATGACTACCTGGTGCAGAGCCTACACGCCTTGCAGCAAGTCCACCTGTACGAACTGGATTTGGCAGGATAAGATGTACCCTGGCACACGACGCCGACGCTGTGGTACTATGTGGACCTCTGCATCGACCAGCACGGGCAAGGGCAAAGGCTATGGCAAGCCTTCCAACAAAGCCAAATCAACAACCTCACACATGGCTAGAGTCACCACCAGGGCTCTCGAAAGTCCGACCTATGAAGATCTCCAAAGTCCAGCAAGAGGCTACAGACCTTCTTTCTGCGGCATGGACGACGTTGACAGAAGAAACACAGACCAAGCTTCAGGCCATTGGCACAGGGCCAACCAAGCCTGAAACAGAGCTCAAAGATGTGCTGAAATCCCACATGGAGGCTCTCCCACAACCAGTACAAGAACTGGTCACCAAACTGACCACACCAGAGCCATGCACTGAGCGTGAGATAGCTGCAAAGCTAAAAGGCAGAGTGACGGAGTTGAAGAATTTTTCAATGAAGAAAACTCAACTTCAAGGCAAGATCGATCAGGTCAAGTCCCAGTATGCAGCTCTCCTCACGGATACGCAGCACCTTCAAACCAAACTCACTGAAGGACAGCAAGCCCTCAAGAGTTTGTCAGAAGAGTACATGAAAGCTGTCAATCAGACTCCTACGCCTCCGGAGTTGCCCTCCGCTTCAGGAGAGGCAGAGCAAATTCCTGTGGCGGTTGAATCCTTTGTCCATAGTTTGGGCATATCTTTGACTGAGGAGCAGAAGTCTCAGCTCCACGGCCTCTTGAAACGGCCCAATCAGGATCAAGAAGATTCGATGAAGCGCAGGAAAACTGAGGCAGCACAGCATGCGACTCCAGGACATTGCGGGTAACACGCACAGTCTGATGTTTCAGGGGTGGACTTTCCCAGTTCCGGACGATGACATCATGTCATGTGAAGGACTAGAAAGTCCAAACAAAGGGCGCGTTTTTGAAGAGATCACAACCTTTGACGATGCACTTCAGCCAACGGTAGCCTCTCAATCACCACAATGGGATTGCCGTGCTGCTTCAGGCTCACAGCTGCATCTTGGGATATCAGCTCCAATGTGTGCAGGGGACATTGCACATGATATGGCTGACACAGACACCTCAGGGGAGCTCTTTACCACCTATGATGGGGAACAGTCATTTCACGGTGGTCATGAGCACAATCTTTCCAATTTTGAAGCTCACAGCTTACAAATAGCAGATACAACAGAGACAGCTGTAGGGGCGCCCCATGGAAGTGCTTTCCTTTCCATTTTAGGAGGAGCTCCAAGCACTGACGATACCAACGACAGCGCCACACAAACGGCTACTGGCATGCAAAACTATGCCACATCTACGGACTGCATTTTGCAGAATCTCACCATGGTCGTTGGCAATCTAAGTGTGAGGCGCTTTGCCAATGCGCCTTGGAGAGCCTTCACATGGGTATGCGCACTTCTCCAAGAGACTAGCACCCAGCCTTGGGGAACACTTCAAGAAGCAGTTCAGGAATCCATAGATACGGCAGAACCGGTTGACATCCAAGCTTTGCCAGGACTTCGAGATCTATGGAAACACCACGATCTCAATGTTCAAGGAGATGCCAGCCACTTCGTCAACTCGCTGTGGCTCTTGTCGCAAAGCAGGGCCTTTCATTATCGCTTTGCTGAAATCAAAGAAGGAGGTTATCTCACGGATCATGTCCAACAACCCATCCTGGCGCCATACCCAGATGAATGGCCAGATGATGCATCCTTTCAGCAGCTCATCAATAACTGGGCAAATCAGCGCATGGGCCAATACTTGATGGACGACAAGAAGGTCCTCATCTGCCACGTGACCCGCCACACTTGCATTGAGGGAGTGATGACCAAACATCAAAAGCCCTTCAATCCCTATGGCACGTTCACCATGCCTCGATCACTTGATGGATTTGCACGCACGTCCACTGAGTTTGTGCCAGCAGTGCTCATTTGCCATCGAGGACAATCCCATCAGGAAGAACACTATTTTGCCATCCTCATCTACCACGACCTCATGTGGATAGCAGATGATGGCAAGGTGCCAACACATCTGCCAAATCTGACGCCAAGCCTGGCGAGCCAAATCACTCAAGTCTGGGCAGTGAGCATTGAATGCTTCAAGACACCTCAACAAGTACTTCAAGGCCTGCCACCACTGGAAGAGCCAGATTATGAGCCTCCACTGCATCCCAGTCCCATGAAGAGAGCAAGATTTGAGCAGGGTCACAATGTTCTTCACTTTGGAAACGTCGCAAATTTTGGCCGCCAAGTGATGGAATGGTATACTGGACGAGAGACAGCGGCATTTACATCTTTGCTGAAACGCATTTGGATCCACAGAAACACTTTGAGACCTGCCAATACTTCACCATTCGTGGACGCACAGCTTTTGGCACTCCAGCCGAGCCCAACCAAGACCACACTGGCACTCATGGAGGCCTCTTGGTGTTCGCAGACCCTGCCAGAGGGGTGACACAGTTCGAAGCCGTTTGTGACTGGCCCTGAGGTTGGAGCCACGGCCCTGAGCAGCCCAAGGGTGCTCCTGAAGGAGGTACTGCTCTCTGCAGGACAGCCAGTGTGCCCATTGTTGGGCCGTGTCATTGGCTGGATTGCCATAGAGGTCAAGCTCATAGGCTGTGGACTTGTATGTGGTCCAAGGCCTGAAGTCAATGTCCGGTGTGGCCGGGAGTGGCGGGAAGTACTGGAGCTGCCTATATTCTTTGGCGGCCTCTTCAATGTTGAAGTGGTACGTGAGGAGTGCATGTGGCCGCCAGGGTATGGCCCACTCCGTGGTGAGTGAAGTGGTGCTGGCCAAACTGGTGTGGATCAGGGCGTAGTCGATGATGACGTCGGCGCCCTCAAATGCTCCGCAGCGCCTTAGGCTGACTCCTGCATCGCAGCCGTGCCTGCGTGCAAAGTTGAGAATGCATTTGCTGGCAAAAGGAGCAAGAGCAGGGGTAAGCCTGCAGAGGCCTTGGGAAAGGCAAGCTCCAGCTCCCAGGCTGCCCCCAAGAAGGTAAAAGGGACACCAGCAAAGGCAAAGAA